ATGCAGCGATTCTCTCCTCCTGTGTTTTGCCGTGTACTTTGCCTGATGCAGTGAAGGTCCAGTTTTGGTGGTCTGTCCTCAGAACCTAATAGATGTAAAGTTTGACCAGCAGCGGCTCAAGGAAAAGATGTTTTTTTCCAATGGATCAGAGCCTTTTGAGAAGCCTTTAGCCTAAGAAATTTTTCAAGGTTTCTGCCTCTTTCATTTTGCCTTCTCAATCTGAATAACAGATAACTTTGGACAATGCAGTGACCAAGAAACTGAACAGAGTATGAAGAGTGAGTGGTTTTGGGTGTAAAACTAAACTGTCAGAGCACAAATAGTTTTTTCAAGGTTTTATGCCACGGCTGAACATGAAATGAAGAAATGGCTCTTCCCCAATTCCAGATGAGGAGGTTTTAAATAGCTTTGTTTGTTAGTTTGCATTGTGTGCCAACATGATTGGTCTGTACAAATCCTAACGATGGAAAGGGCATTTCTTCTGTTATATATACAGCTGCTCTGAAGTCTGAAAAGTTGAGATATCCTCATGCCAAACATGCATTTTGTATTCAATATCCTATTGAGTTGTTTCATGGGGGTTTACAGTGAGGAATGAATGCATTCTCTCTTAAGGGTCCAAATTAACCTTTCTTCCAAAAAGGAAGTCCTAAGAAGTTCCTGTTCTCTCTGAGGGCTGCAGTTTTGTACTTCCTTAGAAAAAATCCCTTGATCATGACCTGGTCAAGTACTATCAACAACCTAGTCTTCACTGTCTGATTAAGAGGTTGCAATTTGTTATGAGAGGTAACTTCAAGAACATCTAGTCGTCCCTAAAAACTATTCTTTGTCTGTTAGAGACTCGTGTTTGGTGTGGAAATGCAATTGGTAATATTGCTCAAAAAGATCTCATCAATGTCTGACAGTCAAGCACCCATAGCTGTACTATTAAATCTGTTCAGTGCTTTCAATGCCATGATTCACAGAATGTGGTTGACCTGTATTCATATTCTTGCAGTATCAGATGGATTGATTTTGTGTAGCTTTAAGATTTTCTTTCAGCTAGGAAGGCTATGACGGCTGTGGGCAGTTGCAGTTGTACTGCTATCACAGTATCACAGTATCACAGTATGCTGGAGATTGGAAGGGACCTCAAAAGATCATCTAGTCCAATCCCCCTGCCAGAGCAGGAACACCTAGATAACGTTACACAGGAATGTGTCCAGGCGGGCTTTGAATGTCTCCAGGGTAGGAGACTCCACAACCTCCCTGGGCAGCCTGTTCCAGTGTTCCGTCACCCTCACTGAGAAGAAGTTCCTTCTCAAGTTTAAGTGGAACCTCTTGTGTTCCAGTTTGCACCCATTACCCCTTGTCCTATCATTGTTTGCCACTGAGTAGAGCCTGGCTCCATCCTCGTGACACTCCCCCTTTATATATTTATAGACACTTATAAGGTCACCCCTCAGTCTCCTCTTCTCTAAACTATAAAGACCCAGCTCCCTCAGTCTTTCCTCATAAGGGAGATGCTCCACTCCCTTAATCATCTTGGTTGCCCTGCGCTGGACTCTCTCCAGCAGCTCCCTGTCCTTCTTGAACTGAGGGGCCCAGAACTGGACACAATATTCCAGATGGGGTCTCACCAGGGCAGAGTAGAGGGGAAGGAGGACCTCTCTCGACCTACTAACCACCGCCCTTCTAATACATCCCAGGATGCCATTGGCCTTCTTAGCCACAAGGGCACAGTGTTGGCTCATGGTCATCCTGTCGTCCACTAGGACCCCCAGGTCCCTCTCCCCTACACTGCTCTCTAGCAGGTCGTTCCCCAACCTATACTGGAACCTGGGGTTGTTCCTGCCCAGATGCAGGACTCTACACTTTCCCTTGTTATATTTCATCCCGTTATTCCCTGCCCAACTCTCCAGCCTGTCCAGGTCTCGCTGGATGGCAGCACAGCCTTCTGGCGTGTCAGCCACTCCTCCCAGCTTAGTGTCATCAGCAAACTTGCTGATAGTGTCATTGATGAATATATTAAATAATACCGGTCCCAGTACTGACCCTTGAGGCACTCCACTAGTTACAGGCCTCCAACTAGACTCAGCCCCATAGACTACAACTCTCTGGCTTCTCTCCTTCAGCCAGTTCGCAGTCCACCTCACTACCTGGTCATCCAGTCCACACTTCCTCAATTTAGCCGTGAGGATGCTGTGGGAGACTGTGTCAAAGGCTTTGCTGAAGTCAAGGTAGACCACATCCACCGCTCTGCCATCATCCATCCACCGTGTTATTTCCTCATAAAAGGCTAAGAGATTGGTCAAACATGATTTCCCCCTGGTGAAGCCATGTTGACTGCCCCTCATAACCCTCTTATCCTTGATATGCTTTAAGATGGCACCAAGGACAAGGTGTTCCATCACTTTCCCAGGGATGGAGGTGAGGCTGACCGGTCTATAGTTACCCGGCTCCTCCTTCTTGCCCTTTTTGAAGACCGGAGTGACATTTGCCTTCCTCCAGTCCTCAGGCACCTCTCCCGTTTCCCAGGACTTGGTAAAGATGATGGCGAGTGGTCTAGCAATGACTTCCGCCAGTTCCCTCAGCACCCGCGGGTGCATCCCATCTGGACCCATGGATTTATGGACGTCCAGATTGCTCAACTGATCTCTAACCCATTCCTCATCGACTAAGGCAAGTCGCTCCGTCGACCTGACTTCATCTAAGGTCTCAGGGGTATAGGGCTCTTCAGGACTGCCTGCAGCAGAGTAGACAGAGACAAAGAAGGCATTCAGTAACTCTGCCATCTCTGCATCTTCTGTCACCAGGGCACCCATCCCGTTCATCAGTGGGCCTACATTGCCTCTGGTGTTAGTTTTGTCTGCCATGTACTTGAAAAAGCTCTTTTTGCTGTCCTTGACCCTTCTTGCCAGGTTTAATTCTAAGGAAGCCTTAGTCCTCCTAGCTGCCTTCCTACATCCCCTAGCAGCAGCCTTATATTCCTCCCAAGTGGCCAGCCCCTCCTTCCATGACCTGTAAACTCTCCTCTTCCACTTGAGCATACCCAGCAATTCCCTATTTAGCCACACAGGTCTCTTGGCCCTCTTCCTTGACTTCCTACGTGTCGGGATGCTCCGATCTTGAGCACGGAAAAAGCAGTCCTTGAATGTCAACCAACTATCTTGGGCCCCTTTTCCTTCAAGCAGCCTTGCCCATGGGATTTCCCCTAGCAATTGCTTGAAAAGGCCAAAGTTTGCCCTGCTAAAGTCCAGGGTTGCAATTCTACTTGGTATTCTACTAGTCCTACCACACAAGATCCTGAACTTCACCATCTCGTGGTCGCTGCAACCAAGGCAGCCCTCTACCCTTACTGCTTCAACCAGACCCTCCTTGTTAGTGAGGATGAGATCCAGCAGCGCTCCTCTCCTGGTCGGCTCATCATCTTAGCACAGTGTGTGGGTATGTGTTTGCTTGGAGGTTGCTAGAATGGTTGTTGAGGTATAGAAAGTGATATTTTTAATGTTGATTTGATACTCTTCTCTCATTGAGCTAGTGCAAGGAATGCTACAGACAAGTTCTGGCAGAATGATATGTAAGAAGGGAAAAAGAAAACATTCAAACCAGCAAGGAACTAAAGATGATAGTTTGGGAAAGTCATCAAAGAAAATTGAAGACCAGTATCAATTCCACTGTGATTTTGCTCCATTTGGCTATGCAGGTTAGACTAGTGAGATCCAGGTTAGAACAGACTGTATTTTGGCTGTTCAGAAAATGTTTGTGCATGTGGATTCATTGTTATGTTAAAAAGTATCTGTCCTTTCTCTGCATTACTGTTGCAAGTCACTATTGATCAGGCATAGCAGTAGATAACAATTTTTGTATGCTTCAGTTGGAACCTTTTAAATACAATTCCTTTTAAGTATTTTTTTTTTATAAACTCACTAATTTTTGAATGCTCCTGTCATGCAGATAAATCTAATCATACATATTCTATTTTATCTGAATATTACTACATGATGATTGTCTCCTGGAAGTCAAATTAAAACAGATCAAACTAATGCTGAGTGCCTTTTACAACCAAAATAGAATGTGGAATTTAGGAAGTAAACACTGAAAGGATATAAATGTTTTAATGCCCAGAATCAATATTGCTATGATGCACCAGCATATTTGTGTATTGAAATTGTTACTCATAAAGTATCATAGCAATGCTAGCAGTAAAGTGAATTTGCCAAAATCTTGACTCTGTTGTATATAGAAGCACCTTTACTTTAAAATATCATGTGCTGCAAGCAGGTAGCAATAGGGAGCATACCCACATGAGTCATTTTAAAATGCTAGCAGTAGTCCCATACATCATGATCCGCAAAGGCAGCATGCCAGAACAGTGTTAGTTTCAAGAGTAATGACACTGCTTTGCGAACAGCTTATATCTCTCTGCAAGATCTCCCCTGGAAGATACCATCATTGTCATTAAAGAGTAAAAGCTGCCAGGCAACTTCTGTGAATTCTCGGCAGGGTGCTACTGGAATTCTGTCTTACTTGAATAACTTTTTACACTTCACCTTTTTAAAGAGCCTTCTCAGCTGAGTATCGAAAACCAGCAGATCAGACAGATTGGACTCTAAGCCCTCTCCCTGTATTAGAGACAGTGGCATAAAAAGTGATTAAATTGCATCTAAAGTGACAATTTAACATGACTTATGCTGACTGTATACTGCACAAACTGTAACTCCATGAAAACTGGAACCAGTGAACAGTTTTTTGATAAGCAATGTGTAACAGTGCCTTCTGCTTCTAAGCACTCTCTGTACTCAAGGATCCTCTTTCTCACAGTGTCAGTGGAGCTGGACAAGTTTCCCCTGAGACAGTCCTCAGAATTTGATTGGGATGATGTAGGGAGTATAAAGAAGCTCAGATTCGGTGACTTAATGATCCTCAGCACTCAATCATTTCTTAGCGATGCTTTTGTTCTCACCAGAGAAGGGGACAGAATGTGCGGGAGCTTGGGTTGGTCGTGAGGATGCGTGGTGTTAGGGTCGGAAGCGCAGCCCAAGCCTCCCTGGCCCCGGCTTGCCCCCCTCCTCCCCGGGGCCCTGACAGGGAGCCGGGGGTACCAGCCCCGGCCCAGGATCCGCCGCCACCCCCTCCCTTGGGCTTCCCCTTGGGCTACTTGCCATCGACACACGTCGGCCCATGGCGGCGGCCGGCGGCGGGCTGCTGGTCGGGCTGTCCTCCTCCCGGCACTTCCCCTCCGAGCCGGAGCCCGAGCCGCGGCCGGGGTCTCCACAGGAGGCGGCGCTGTCGCTGTCGCTGCTTTCCCGGCTCCCGGTGAGGACGCGGGAGAGGAAGCTGGAGTTGCGGGTGCCCGGGCAGTGCCCGCTGTCCGGGGATTCTCCGCGTTCCTCATCGCGGTCGCGGCAGCCGCTGCCCCGGCTGTGCCTGCGGGGCGCCCGGCGGGCTAAGGCCGCCGTGCTGGGTGCCCGCGACGCCTCGTCGCTGCTGGAGGAGGGCGGCGGCTGCTGTCCGTGGTGCTGCCCCGCGCTGTGCCGCCGGCGGGTCGGCGGGGCGCTGCGGAGCTCTCCGCGGTGCTGGCGGCCCGGCTGAACATCCGGCTGCCCCGCGGGAGCGGCAGTAGAGGGAGCAAGGGGTGGCTGCGGAGCTGTGGAAGGCCGCAGGAGAGAGGCGTTGCTGGCCAGGGAGGCTGGCTGCACCACGGAACTCTTCTTGGAGTTGCAGAGGCTGGCCTCCTCCTCCAGTCGTGGCGGACGCCAGTAGAGGCTTTTCTTGATCTTCTTGAGGCCCAGGTGGGCGATTTCTAGGAGGTTGAGGAACAGAGAGACAGCAGCAATGCTGTTCATGAAGACCATGAAGATGGTCTTCTCTGTTGGTCGGGACACGAAACAATCCACCGTGTTAGGGCAAGGGGACCGAGTGCATTTGTAAAGGGGGGGCATGTGAAACCCATATAAAAGATACTGACCTATCATAAAGCCCACTTCGACCACAGATCGGGTCAGGATATGTAGGACATAGGTGCGCAGCAGGGACCCTCTCAGGGGTGCCTTATTCACTTTCTTCTGTTCCTCCAGCTTACGCAGTTCTCTCTCCACTCTCCTGTGCTCCTCAGGCATGGGTTCCAGGTCTTCTAGCTGAGCTCGCAGGTGGGCTTTCTTCTTCTGTCGCTCTTTCTCGAGAGCCCTTAACCTGTAGAGTGCATGGCCCATGTAAACTAGTGATGGAGAAGAGACAAATATGATCTGCAGTACCCAGTATCTGATCAAAGAGATGGGGAAGGCCTGGTCATAACAGATATTGTTGCAGCCAGGTTGCTCTGTGTTGCAGATGAACTCAGACTGCTCATCATCCCAGACATCTTCAGCAGCCACTCCCAGCACCAGCATCCGAAATATGAACAGGATTGTGAGCCAGATTTTGCCAACTATGGTAGAGTGGATGTGCACTTCTTCAAGGATGCTGCCCAACAGGTTCCAATCGCCCATGGTCACAAGTTCATCCCTGAATGCAAAAAAATATGTTGCCTTAATGCAATACTGGATTTCCCATGAAATGGCCCTTCTTAGTGGTTGGGTTTTTTTGGGGGGTTTTGAGGAGGGGAGGTTGGGGTTGGTTTTTGTTAGTTTTGTTTAAGGTTTTTTTTTGTTTTGTATAAATAATCACCTTTCATATATATTCTTCTCATAGCAGGAGAGCTCTTTGAAATTTATCATTATTTTCTACTTACCAGGTCTTTAACTGAATGCAGACTTCATGATTACCGATGAAAAATGCAAACATGAGATTATTCTAAGCATGAAAGAGATTGATTTCAGCTGTAAACCACAGTACTTTGTATCTGCCTACAGTTTTACACTATTTTCTTCCCACTAGGAAAGAAGACAATTTTTCTCACTTTGCAAATCCGTTACCAGCTGCAATTTAATTCTACAACCCACTCCATTCCACTATGGCTTTGCCTTAGTTTTGCCATTATGTATAATGCTCATGGCTTCGATAAATTGTCTGAAAAAGTTTTGAGAAGTATCCTATAACTGCAAGAAAAAACTGTTTCATTCTGTACCCCAAGGCAGCAGCATTATTAGTGCCATCCATCCAATATTTTCCCCTCTACCAGGGTAACAAACCACGGGTTTCTTGCTTGGATTCCTAAAACTACAAATAGATACTTAATTTACACATAGCTGTACATGTATAGTCTCAGTTCTAGGATAATATTAATAAAGTAAGAGTGCTTCTAGGATTAATGGCTTTAATTTTATGCATTTAAAGTCTTACTGAATCACCAAGACTTTGTCTTGATTATAAATTTTAACATATGAGATAAATAAATCAGGGATTACACAATGGAGTGATTCGGACTTTTTTAGCTGTGACTGTTAAATGATCTTTTTAACTACCACTTTCCCAGAATCTCTTTGATTCATCAGCAAATTCATCTGTCTTCTGCTGCCAGATGCTTGATTTCCAAGCTGCTTCTCTGGAAACTATTTGGGAGTTTCAGGTAATGTAGGGAATTGAAATGTGAGGCATTTGTCTATTTATGAATACACTGCACATTCAGTATTGTGTCCCTAGAATATTTTCTGCTAACATGGTAATAAAATATTGAAGCAACTGGGATCATATCTACCTTAGGGTTTGCACTTGATTTTTTTCTGCTACTGTACTTTCAAACCTTCCCAAATTCCACTAAGCCATTAGTGAAAAGCACTTTCTAAGCTTTTGGTGAGAGTGGCTGGCTGCAGCACCCAAAATTTTGCACAATTTTAACTGACAGTACAGATGGGTGATATCACCACATCATATATCGATATAGCTTGATTAAGGTTTATGATACCATCCCATGTCATACAATTTTGCCTGGGGGATGTGTTTAACCACACTGAGTGTAAAGATTTTGAGTTGTAACCAACAGTGCAGTCATTCTCTGCACAGGCATCCTACAGACCCTATTATTACATATCTGGGATTTGAATTTTCACAATGAACTTCCCTTTTGACACAGAGAACTGGCTGAGGAAACCTAGCTAGCGAAGCAATTTCCTAGGTGCTCTAATGCACCTGGAGCATCTTTTTTGTTCACTCCTTTCCTCCCCTGTGTACCACTGAAATAAGTTACATGAAAAAAAGAAGTCAACAGTAACTATGGTAGTCGATTTTCCTCATTTTTAAAGATCAATGTGAGAACTTTCTTCTGACTTCCTATGAATTTTATTCAGAGCAGAAATCAAATTGTTGCAATGTCATAGGTTTGGATGAGTGCAAAGATGTTCACATGCTGAAATGTTTGCTGGAAAACATTACATCTCATGCTAACAACGCTGAACCTGATTTTCCAAGCTTGGAAGTGCTGATACAGAAGAGTTCACTTTCAGTAAAGCAAGATGTAGAGGTTGACATACAGCAAACTCCCAAAACCAGAGTACTCGAGACGCCAAGTACAAATGAGTGACGCCGATTGCTTTGTGCCACTTCTGATGGCAACACAACAGTTAACCAAAGGAGCTTTGGGCATATTGGCTGCTTTGCAAATGGCTGTTCCCTCTCTGAAATTGATACTACTCCAACAAAAACAAAACAAACCAAAAAATAAATCCAAGTGAGCTGGAAAAACATAAATGCAGGAATAAATGGGAAAGCAGACATGTTTTAATCTCAGAGATGAAATGCAATCATTCCTCTAGTAGTAGGAATTATCACTTCCCATACTGTTACAGAAAATGCTTATGACCATCTGGGGTAATGAGAGGACAGGAAGAGGAGGATAAACATATCACTCTGGCTCTACAAGTACTTGTTTTTTTAAGTTGTTTCTACTACTATTTAAGCAATTCTATCCTGAGCTTTCCTTTGTAACAGCTGACAGGGAAAAGCAGGAGTGGTTTGATTCACTCTATAAGACACTTTCCCTCAAATCAAAAATGGTAGCACCACACTATAAATATTGACATGGTGAATGTTGTGTCTAAACTGAAGTAGTTAGCCTAGAGCCAAAAGAGCTGGAGTTTCTAAGAAATCAGCCCAAACTTGTTTACAACCTTGTCATAGCAATGTGCACCCAATTTTTCCATCTTCCCCTTCCCTCGTCGTATTTGAATTCTGTGTAACAGAGTAATTGCTATTTATTGTAAGAGAGTAATCTCAAATATCAATTACATCATTATTTCCCGTCTATTAGTAGACTACAAATTCTAGTATACTAAAAATATACCATTTTTAGTGTAGATAGTACATACCCAAGACATTTCTCATTATACTGACTAGCTTTTTTTATATAGTTATTTCAGCTATTTTTATATAGTTATTTCAAACAATAAAAATGCACATGGGTAATCAGTTCGAACCAGGTGAAAATCTACTATTTCTCTTGGAAGAAGTTTCTTTATTCCTTGTTTTTGTTACTTCGTTATTTTAAAGTTCATTTGATTATCCGCCACTGTTCAAATTACATCTATCCTAAATTTATGCCAGGTTTGAAAAAGCAGAGTTAAAACTTTAAACTTCTGGTCACAGAAAGTTAAATGCTAAAATCCAGCTACTCCTGGATTTAATTTGCATTGCTTCACCTCTAACAGGCACCTGCCTGCTTCATACTGTCCTGGGAAGAATTATTTTTCTGCCACTTACCTTATGAGAAAGCCCTTGGGTTGCCTTAGAGCATTGCAGACAGAGCACTCAGTGCTGCGGATTACTGTAGCTCAGAGACCTTCCTTCAACAGGGCTAGGACATGCGATTTTTTCGAAGAGCCAAAACATAGATGTGGTATGCTGAGCAGACTTCTCGGATCTTTGTAGCTGGATAACTCAGCCTAAACTACCCATGCACAGCTTGAAAATCATCAGATGATAGGATGGTGCCTCTAGCCAAAATTATCATGCAATTATTTTAGTCAGTGGCATCTAACAAAGCCATTCCCTCAAGGCTCAAGCTGCACAGCAGTAGTTTGCAATATCCCTATGCCTTGTTTTAGCTGGTTCTTCAAATATTACACCTCCACTCAGCTCCCAAATGACATTTTATTTTACAAAATGGCCAAATAGGCAGCCTTTACGGCACGATAGATTCTTACATTTTCTTTACATTCCATTAGTTTTGCTTTGAATCAATGCCCAAGGATCGATCGGTCATGTCCGATTTCACACTCTGTTGCCTGGTGAGTTAATTTAGGATGTGTTAGACTGAGTCTTTGAAAAGGAGGCCACCGGAACTGGGACTCAAGTCTTCAGACAGAAACACAGACTTTTGACGCAGCTACCCTTCTTCAGCTGGGTTAAAGAGCCACCTCAAGTACCTTCAGAATTGGTATCTTTGAGAGACAAGGTTTAAAAAAGTTGAGTTACCAAAATCAGATTTTGTGAGAAATCAGGGCCACCGGAGCTGAGGTTCTGATAACGAGAGCTTTTGCTGCCTAGCCCTGCCTAGGCTTAAATTTTATGGAAATCCCAAGTATGGTTTTTTTTTTTCCTCTTCTGGTCTTTTGGCCCTTTTCTTCCATCCTATAAGGTTGTGACTGACTTCCACTTCAGGCTCTTCTTCCTAAAGACTGAGATGGGGTTGTTTTTGGTGGCACAGCATTGTACTGTCAAACTCTGACGGGAGAGCATGTATGTACCAGACGTCACCAAAACTTTACCCATCTTCCCCATCAAAGCTAATTTTGCTCCTGCAATGCCTCTTGATTGATTCTCCCAAGAAGTCCTGAAATCTGTTCTTGGCATGCTTTATTACTGCTGCCTCCCTGCATGAAGACGAATTGCTAGAGACTATTCTGCAGCTGGTTTTAGAGTGAAGACAATTAGAGGAAAGACTTAATGGAAATAGCTATGGGTTGCTGCATTGACACTGAAGAGAAATGCCTTTAGTCCAGTCAACTATTTTATGTAGACAGCTGGCAACAGGCTATGTCTGAGAGAATCCCTCAAAAATCAATACCCAATGCTTTACAATTTCACTGTTATGCACACCTCCATAAACCCTGCTCCTTGAATTCCCACTCTAGAAAGTTTTCCAATACTCATGTCCACTAAGAGTTTTTAGTCTGAATCCTGTAGAAATACGTGTGGTGGACAGAAGCAGACCTATTCTTCAGTAATAAGTAAGCCTCTCAAAGGGCTGCCAGCTATACTCTTCCAATGAAAAGCTTTGGATACAAAAGGTCTTCCTCCATTGTAATACTGCACTCAATACTAACCCCCAATGATTCTATAAAAAAAAAAGAGGAAAGTCATATGATCTAATTCCTAAGTAGTTTAAAGGTTGTATGTTATTTGTTAAATTGCCTGATTTCTGATCCAGTTATGTCCAGTAAGAAACAAGCAGTATGTGTTTGGAGCAGTAACAGCATCAGAGCAGCAGCTGATTTACTTCCATGTTTATTGGCTGGAATATCAACAGAGCTACTCATTTATACAAACTAACCGAAGTCCATTTTAATGCTGCTTCACAGCATTTGTAGTTGTCAAGGAATTAGCCAACTGTTCTAGAAGATGTTTTCATTTACCTGAGGTTTCACAAGTAAGTCTGTAGATTACATACAGTACATTTTGCATATATGTATCAAAATTCTTCTTGGAGAAACAAATTACAAACAACAGTACAAAACCAGTCCAAGCCAACCATTGTTCAACAAGGGTATAGGTGTGTGAATTTTACAGTTTTATTCTTTGCATCACTCTTACAGTAAGCAAACTACGGAGTTTATACAAAATAAACCTGGAGCTTTATGTAGTTAAAAAAGTCATCTTTGGCTAAACAAAGCTCTATTTTTATACATATTTATATATATATATATATATACACCCATCAGATATTTTACATTAGGAACCTGTACACATAATTACAACAGAACATTAAAAAAAGTTTCATAACTTACAAAAAAAGGAATCCAAGTCAGAACCAAACCAGTCAAACCCAGGCCTCCCCCGTCACCTGTACAGATAAGAAAGTAAATAAACAGACAATGAAGAAACAACTTTGTAATAAACACTGCCTGCTTTTTTGAGACAGAGAGGAAGCGCTTGAATGGAGAGAAGCTACTTCCCCCAGTGCCTTCAGTACTGTGCACGCTTTGATCTCTAAGGATGTGGTTAAAACACTCAGTAGAGTCTGGTTTTCCACAAACATGAAAGCTACTCTGCCAACTGGCAGTTGTGAGAACAGCTTCAGTTAGATTTAATTCTCCAGTGAGTAAATAACTGTCATCAACGTTAAGAACAAGCATGGGTAGGGGATACCAATCACCCACTGATATCATTAGATGCTTCTGGTGTAGCATGGAAGATGATATTTGATCATCAAAAGCAAATGTTTTAGAAGCAAGTACATAAGATGGAAGACTGCCAGAACTGACATCATCACCTACTCAAGTCATTCCTTGTAACAGTTTCCAGAGCACTGCCTAAAATGAGGATGATGCACTGTTTGGCAGCATGACATTCCATTCCATAGGGTCACATTTACAATACTCCAAAGGTGTCAGTGGCAGCATCACCAACCAATTATCTGATGTTTTATTAGAATAAGAACTCTGTCCCGTTAGCCGGGGAGGGAGCAAAAAGCCATTATGTTGAAACTGAAGCCGCAGTCATTGGATTCCATCAAAAAGCTAATTTAATTCAAGTTGAAAGGCAATGCACTTTGGTAGGGCTCTTAAATGAAATCTAAATAACCCAGCAGATGTTCTGACTGACTAAAGATGACAGCAATTTTGATCCTCAATAAAGAATAAAACCTCAAACATCAACAAATTCAGAACAGTAAAACCTGTGCAATGTCCAGGAATGTTTCTTAGAGGAAATTAAAAAATAAACAACCCCAAGCTTTTTTAGAAATACAGGATAAAGCAGCAAATGAGAAGTGTGTGTATACATATGTATACATACACACTTTTACTATGTGCTAGTAAAACTGGAAGCAGTTATAAGAGTTCTTTAAAATAGAACATAGTGAATTTCTAATGTAATAAACAATTTGCAAAGATAAGATACAATTGCTGTCAAAACATGCCAAGTTGACAACATTTTGAAACTGCTTGTTTTTACAAAAAAGTTTTTCTCCTGGTTAGAAAGTATAAAGTCACATTTTATAAAACTGCAAAGGTCTGTTTCTAAATTAAGTTTAAAAGGAAAATCACTTGTCAAATTTTATTTTTTTTTAAACAAAAATAGAGCTCTTATTATGTTGAAGACCTAAATTAAGTACCATTCCCAGATGTAATTTGGAACACAAAAACGTATTTGCCTTTTGCAAAGAAAAATACCTTTTTCATGGGAAAAAAAAACCAAACCCAACCCCAAAATTATTTTAAAATACCATCAGAACTGAAATTTTTTTTTAACTACAGTTTGTTGTAGATGATAACGTGCTTAAAATCGAAGACAAACCCTACGCACAGTGCCAGATTCTCTCCTTATAACCCACTACAACCTGCTGAGAAAGCAGCAAGAACCACCTATTCCTTAACATCAGAATGCAATTACTATGTAAGCATCTTATGGAATCATTATCATCATTGCTCTGCTGTCTCTAAAAGAAAAAGGCCTAACTTCCTAAAATTTGTTTCAATGTGACCAAGATGACATACCAGTCATATTCCAGGAATACCAACTGGATTCCAAAGCACACTTACTTTTTAAAATCATAGTTCAAAGTCACCACATGCAGTACTTCCAACAAGTGAAGCACGAGCCACCATTTCCACTTGATAGCATGCCCTTGTCATTATTTATAGAACATATTTAACCTACAGGAGATGTCACCCCCTTGAAATGATACTGCTTCATTTGTATGTACCCATTCTTTTCTAGCCAGTTTCTTTGTAAAGTTCCTTCTGTTATTCTGATAAAGCACTTCACGGGAAACATGGACAGGGAAGTAAATAATTAAGTGCATCAGATTTACCAAGCTTGGTATTCTGACCTGGTTACCCCCCACTAATCCCATTACATGAATGGAGTGGTTGTAGTCCATTGTTGCTAGTAACAGCTAAACACTGTAACCATGAAGTAACTTCGTGTCAAGTTTACTTGCACTTGGATTTCTTGAACAGCTTCATTAATTGCTTGAATCTTTCTGAAACCTAATGGAGAACAAAGAAAGAGACATATCGTTATGGTCCCAGATTTTTGTAACTGCCAAGACAAACTAATCTGACAGCATGAAGTTCTTAAGACAACCATTATTTTGGTTTTTGCTTCCAATAAATTTTACCAGAAGAATTTTAGGAGAACCATCAACAGGTTAATTAAATGTAGGAAGTCTTCCTGTACCTTTGACATCTGAAATAGCCTCCACACACATCACAGACAGCTAGAGCCAAATACTGTTTTAACACAGGAGACTGGTTTACAACACAGGAGGGAAAAAAATGAGGGCTTCAAAGTCAATTAGACTCTAATTCTGCCAGGTATAACTGCGAGCCAGATTGAAATGTAAGGACACAATGTTATTTTGTACTCCACAAAAAGCACAGTTTATTTTTTATTTCTACTCTCTGGTACAACTGCTGTTATTTATGGCTCATCATGAGGTGTCTGCATACCTGGAATTTTACAAAAGTGGTGTGTAGATGAGAGTCAAACATCTTTTTGCTGAACATAGCTACAGCTTACATAGAGAGCTCGATCAATCATAAGCTAGTATCTCTTACTGCTATATACATATTGCTATAGCATATCTACCATTTGCCAAATAGCCAACTGGGAAGAGTGATATAAATGTACAGATAATGCTGCTTTATCCAGTTAGCCACCCCAACAGCTTCTAAACCCCTTGAAGACTCTGTAACCATAGAACACAACATCCTAAAAGTCAAATCCTGAGCACACAGGATTTCCTAACTTAGCCAAATGGGTGTTTCTCCTTTCTTGGATTTGCAGGATAGACATTAAAACAGCAATTCAAGACAAGTACAAAGTTATATGCAAACCTCTAGAAATACTCTACACCAACTTGACATCTGTGCCTTCTGAAGTTTCTTAATTACAGAGTAAAAGAAAAAATAGTAATGAAATATGTCCTTTCTGCAAAATCCAGGGTTTTTTTTCCAGTGCTAGTTTTAAGCTTTTTCTAATTTACTAGACATGTGCAAGGGCTTTGGGGCATCTCCAAAATGCCTTTAAGTGCTGATTCAACAACAGAAACAATCCTGTGGTCCCCGGCTTATGATTGGACACAGCACTTTCAAGGCATCCATCAAATAGGTACTGAAGAATCCCTGGACCATAATACCCCTATACTGTATATTTTTAATAAGTTACGAGTAGAAGAATCCAAGATTCTTTTTTTCAAGAACCCCTCAACAAAAGGCATAAGGAAAAAACAACTCAAAATTAGTAGATTTCTGAAGTTTTTTGTTCAACTGCAACCATAAACGTAGCAGCATAGTCTATAAATTATAAGAATGATAGCACCTACCTGATTTGGGCTTTTGTTCAGCCTAGTGGCTAAGGAAACAAAGGTTTTGCTTGATGGTCCTTTTCTCTGGCATTCCAGTAAAATTTCTCGGTCATCGTTTCTATAGCAAAAATGCATTTTAAAAATATTAATACATATATATGTGTACATGCACACAAACAAAAAATACATAAGGTATATATAAAATTCTAAATATTTCCAAACTGCAGAACCTGAGTTCAAACAGCAGCAACGATCTTATGGAGGATCTTCTCCTCTACCAGCACAGATTAAGAAAGTTAGTACAAAGAAATGTTAGTGGAGATCATGCTACTCCTTTTAGGAAGGGCAGTATTATTACAGTAGGGTTAGTCCAAAACCAAAGTAATCAAAAAAGAGTTTTAAGCTTTTAAAGAAGACATTTAAACTTGAAAAGAATAAACTCAACAGGGGCCAGCAGTTCTAGGTGGACTTGCCTCAGTTTGCATGGCTAAAGCCACTGGCTAAAGCCCACTGACATTCATGATTAAACAGAGAGGTGTTCGACTTCTGTAAGAGGCTTAATATAACAAATACACCCAGAGCATGCTCACATGAACATAAAGGACGAGGATTCTGTTTTTAAATGTGTCACCAGTTTGCTGTCTCATTAATGAATTTAGGTACATGTAAGACATATACAGACAGAGTTACTATACAGCAGCTACTATGTATCTTTGGTTGAAACCTGCCAGATGCTATTAAACACTCTTGAAATTCCTCCATTTCAAAGAAAAATATAATGACTACTTATTTAAATAAACATTTTTTTTTTTTTTTAGGCATAGTTCAAAGGTGGACAAAGACTAAGCCATAAAACTCAGCCATAT